ATAAGTTTTTATTAAAAAAATTAAACTTTTTAATAAAAACACAGGCAAATTTGCCTGTGTTACAATTTAAGGAATAAAAAATAAATTTAGTATAATAAAATAATTTAAATTAACCTGCAATCGACTTCGATATGTTGTATGCAAAAATCTCATATTTGACCAAAGCTGTTCTACAGAAGCAGAATTAACATATATTCTATAGATTTGAATTGCTACACTAGATAATTCAGGACCAATACTACTTGTTGAATCCCAAAAATCAAATAAATTTTCTTTAAATTGATAAAAAGAATCTATATTATATAGATCTTCACCATGTTTATATTTAATTAACTCTGATAGAATAGAAACTGAACATGTCTCAAACCAAGCCTCATAGTAATATTTTAACCACTGACTAATATGCGTTCAAGTAAGATTTTGTACATCTAATTGAAACTTTGATAATTTATATTCTGGATGCAATGCAAAAGATATAGTAAAATAATAAGTGGCTGCTTCTATTCTTTCCACTGATTTTCTATTCTTTCTAATATTTTTAATCTAAATTCAAGATTATGATATTGATTAAAAATTTTTGTTGTATATGCAAAGCAGTGAAGTACTTTGTATAAATGAGCTATATCTTTTTGCAATTTGTTGAGAAATCCACATAATGGATATAGTATATTTTGTAGTTCAAATAGAGTAGACTAAAATTCAGAATTATTAATTGTATTCACGATATCATCAGGAAGTTTACATTCCTTATTATAAGACAATGAACTCTTATTAGATGCAGAACTTGGTATTCCATTTAAATGTATAATAGTAATTCTTTCAGAATTAAATTTAGCGGCAAGACACTAATTAAATAAATAATAAATAAATATAGATTATTTATTTAATTTTAATTATAAATTATATAAATATTAAGTTAATATTTACTTTGAGTGCAGCCTGAGATTTTAGAATAGAATGGAAACAAAAATAATATGAATTCTATCTAGTATCTTCTGGACTTATAAGAGAACTAACTGTTTGTGATATTCACATTTGCTCATCTCGTAAAGCACCTATAAAGTATGCAGATTTATAAAAATAACTAACAATTCTAATTGCTTCTTTAGATATTCGTTTATATAATGTTGATTCTTTAAAAATATCAGAAACAACCAAATTCATCTAATAGGCCATACAAGATAAAAACACTTTGCTTGTATATTTTTGTCTTAATTGGCAACTATAAATTATTTTTACTATATATTAATAATAATAATTAATATTAAATAAATTAAAAATGGGTTAGAGTCTCGTAGCCTAGTGGTCTAAGCACCTAATCCTTCACAGACAAGGTCGACGGTTCAATTACAGCTGGTGGTAATTAATTTAATTAATTATCTCTGTAACCTTCGGGGGCTTTTGAATGTGGAACCCTGTAGCAGTAAGACTATGTGAAGTACATATTTGGCCGATAAAGAATTCTTGGAAGGAGTCCTGATTCATGAAGAAAATCAGGCACTGTGTGTGACATGGTTCACAGAAGATAATATTGTAGAAGGCTGTGTGTGTGAATCTACGATTGGCAAGGTAGCACCAACAATCCTAAGGCGGCATTGGAATCTTGATTGGGAGGACGGCTGAATGCAATATATCCAGAAGTGGTGAGAGAAGCGGTGAATATAGTAAGGGGCTGTGGTAAGAGAATAGCTTTACCAAATATAGAACACCTCTGGCACAAGGAAACAAGGAAAACTGGCTAAAAGAAACCCCGATAAGCATAGAAGCAAGCGCTCTGGTGATACGAAAATAAAGTCGGCCAGTGAATAATGTATTGCACAACCTATATGGGAGTCATGGAAGTATGACTAAACATAGCAGAAGCGCAGTTCTGGGTTACTGGCTTGTGACAGTAATTAAATGAGATACTTAATTCTTGTTCTAAGGATCTAGACTTCTGTAATACCATACCGATAGGGAATACTATAAAAGGAACGGTAGCCTAATTTGGTGGTGTACGATATGAATACCTGGAACTATGCAAACAGCTTTTTTAATGGCGGCAGCAGGTGGTTTGAGATACGGGTCTTCGGACGGCGGCAGCACTTGGCTTGAGATATGGATTAGAATCTGAAGTAACATCTTGAGGGACACCAAACTGGAAGCAAGAGCGCTTCACTCCTAGGACACCAATTTGGAAGTTATACAAAAAATGAATTAGAAGTAATGTGATAAGTGATGAGAGGTAGATTATAACTGGTAAACGTTGTATAGTAGTATATATAGCAGGATATATACTGTTATATTAATATTATATTAGTATTTTAAATTTTCTATCTATGTGTAACTACTAAGTGTAGTACAAATATTAT